TCCCCGGGGGGGGATTTTTGACCAAATCCCCGGGGTTTCGACATGTGTTGGCGCGCTATTTTCAGCGCGCGTACACGCGCGCGCGCACGGGATCCCACGCAGAGCTAGTGGAAATTATGAAATTATGGAACACCCCACGGTTACGCGTAAATCTTGGTCACGATGGGGGGAGGATATAGCATGACCATGCTAAAGTGTTTATGGCTTTTAGAATGCGACACGAAAGCCTACACAATGGACACACTAATTCCTACACAATAGACTGCTGCAAGTGAGCTGCGCAATGTGGCCATCCTGCGTTGCAATCTTGGCCCGGGGGATGGCGGGGGGGCGGCGGGGGTTTCCATAATTTCCATATGGAGGGGCCCCTTGAGCGCACCCTCCGTGCGACTCGCCGAATAACTCACGGTTCTTCACGCTTGGTGATGTGAGAGCCTGGTCCATGCGACTCTTCGAATGCCCGACGGCGCTTCGCGCTTGGTGATGTGAGAGCCTGGTCTGGTGAAAACCGGGCGTGCTCCGTCCCGGCTTTGTAGGGATGCCAGGTCAATGGTCTAACGACTACGGCATGCACGGCTATGAGCACCAGCGCTCCTCCCCTCTCTTCGATTTTCACCCCACACTGAGAAAACACACGCGAACACACCTTGACGTAGCTCATGACCTGGTCTAGCGCCCCCGCGCTGCCGCCGCCGTCTCCCTCCCCCGTCCCCGTTTCGTCCCCGGCAACGGCCTTGATATCTTTAGAACTCCCGTTCTTGCGGGTGGTGGTCGTCGTGGAGACGCCGAAAGCGATCTTCAGGTCGCTCAACCAGTCCGTCGTTTCTCCTCCCGCCGCCGCCGCCGCCGCCGATGGTTTCTTCTTCGGCGAACCCAAGGAAGACTCCGGCAGGGTTATCGATAGCGAGTCCTTCGCCCGCCGCTCTTGCTTCGCGCTAGCGTCCGCGTCTCCACCTTTACCGTTCGCCTCCGCACTGTCCTTCTCCCCGGCCTTCTCGGTGATGCCGCCGCCGCCCCCGCCGCCGCCGCCGCGCTGGAGGGCCCGTGGTGACGGAGCGGTGGCCGTCATGGTTGTCGCCCTCCTTGCTCGCTTCGCCTTCGCCGAGGCGGCGGCGGCGGCCGCTGCCGCAGCGGCGGCCTCGTACTGCTTCTTGCTGTTGCTCCCCTTGACGCTACTGCTGTTGCTGGATGCCGCGGCCGTCACCCTGAACAGATTGTCGTCCTGCTGAAGCCTGCTCGCGGTGTTTTGGAGCCTTGGCGTGTGTGTGTGTTGGGGGCGGCGAAGCGAGAGCGAGAGCGAAAAATTGGAAGCCCGGATAGGAGAAGGGCAAAACGAGAGAGCGCCCACATAGCATATATTCTTTGTCCAGATAAAGGTTAATCGCGAAAAGCGGGGAGGCTTACGTTAGAGGGACAACACGAGGATATGGCAGGCAGCTCGGAAAAAAGATCTACCGTGCCACGCGATCGCAGACATTTCCGCAGACACCATCCACCGAATACACATACCACATGTACCCTCACCCATCCTATACATGAGCTGGCAACTGGAATTAACACCCCACCCAATGCCAGGCTAACACGGTCTCCCTTACATCACTGTAGGTGGACTCTTACAACAAACTGTCAACATGTACAATTGAACGCGTATGCTCCGTGTTCCTTCCTACCAGGGTGCAACAACACAACGCCCACCAAACAATATAGCATCACAACATATTTCTCTACACCTTCCCAGCATAACATGTAATAGTCCGATGCACAAGATGGACACCGAGCTATCTTGTAGTCTGTTTGTTACCCACAGGGGAGATACCGCTGTATGCTGCTTGGGGAACAGTAGAAAAACAGGTAGTGCTCCGCGAACGCTATGAACTCATGACCAATCCTAGACCATTTTCTAAGGATAGATATGGATTCATTGTCACAAAACAAGAAGAAAAAAACAAACAAAATAGGGCAGGAAGATCGAAGAGGTCATGTGTGCATGTAACATGGGGGGCTGACGCGCGCGAGGAAAGTCGTTTTGTTCCGCTGTTTTCTGCGTCCAGCAAATAAATCCCTGAAGAGGGGGAATGTGGACGGAGAAAGCATGCGCACGCTGGTTTTGATAGATGCCCGTACCCATCGCAAAGCCGCGAAGACAAACCCTTGGGGAAAAACAAAAAAAAAACGTATCGGAAAGGCGACGTAATAAAAGCGCGCGTTTCAAGAGCACGAGGGCAGTGACAAACGCGGCAGACCCAGCCATGCGACTCCTGCCGCCTACCTCGCGAGCTGAGAGATGCAGCGCAGCACCAACCCCCAGCTCTCCTTGAGAAGGTTGCCCTCCGTCAAAGCCAGCGACAGCAGCACCTTCGCGCAGCGGACGTTCTTGTCCTTCATGTGGCGAGACGCGTCTAGGAGGGTGAACCGGACCAGCGCGTTAAGCAGCGTCTCGCGGGCGACCTTAGGAGCAAGGGTGACACGTGGGGGTCGGAAAAAAAGTGGGGGGGGGGGGGAGTTAGTCGGCACGTTTGGTAGGGATCGGAAGCATTGGGACAAGCTTCGCCATATTTGCCCTGCCCAAAACCAAAAAACACAATTAAAATAGTACTCTGTATACAACACCCCCATACAATATCAGCAGTAGTACTCACCGGCACGTCTAGCCCTCCCGCTATTCTCACTGCTTTCTTGACCCCGTCCAGGCACAGTTCGATCAGCTCAGGGCTCTCCGAGGCTTCCAACACCTAACCGCACACACGCCGAGACACAGAAAAAGAGAGCAAATTTGAGACCGTGAGAGGGGAAGAGAGGGAGGGATGGAGCATGGCAGAGACAAGGAGGGTAGGAGAGTGGGGGGTGGGGGAGGCATGGAAGGCGAGGAGAGGGCGGGAGAATGAGAGAGACAAGGGCGGCAGGAGTATGGGGGGAGGCAAGGGAGAGAGAGAGAGAGAGAGAGAGAGAGAGAAACAGACTGGGTTGGTACATAAGCAACCAAAGCGCGCAAGAACTTAAGAGCAGAGGCAACGACAGCACCGAAGAGAGAGACGCTGGAGCAGACGATGTGCGTGGGACGGCCACGACCAATCACTGGTGCCCCCCTTTACCGGTCAACTCAACTACACACTCGATAACGACAACGTACGGGGGGTAGCATGTGTGACCGCGAGTGATGCATCAAACACACCAGAATAAAAGGGACGAACAAACCACGCTTCACACATACACACACAGAGGCAACACCTCTATGTTCTACAACCTGGCCAATGCGCGTCATCCATCGACCACGTTGTTCTTATTAGTGCAGTCGGGTGCCCTCTTTGCGCGGGCCACATAGATGCTTGGCACATGTACCCCAACCGTCGAGGGCACCACGCAACGCTACCATTAACGAAAGGGTAGTAACCTATCGTGAGCGAAAACTCGTGCCGCAGCACCCACCAAGCCACCCACCCACCTCGCTGAAGACGGACACGAGCGGACCCCAGGTGATCTCGTGCATGAGCCGCACGTGCTCCGCGATGTCCTGGGATATCCACCCGCTGTCCCCTTCCCCCCTGCCCTCCATGGAGAGGTGCGTGTAGCTGGTCGGGGTTGACGAGCTGTGGCCCCTCTGTCTCGTTAGTAGCGCCCGAGAGGACTGATGGTCACCACCATCATCATCATCATCGCCATGTATATGTTGTCGTGGTTTGGTTCGGGGAGAGAAAAACGTAGCCAGGCCGGTGGTCGCAGCGTGGTTCGTCGGTTCATCCAGTGGTGTGACGAGGAAGGGTCAGGAGGAGAGAGAGGGGGGGAGGGCAGCACAGCGACGAGAGAGGAATGAAGGGAGCGGTCAGCAACCCGGAGACCTCCACCTGTCCCAAGAAAATCAAACGAATGCCACAATTTGGAGCGTTCAGGGGTACTCTCCCCAAGGCGGCACCGTAATTAAGACATCACCAGCACGGCCAACATGTCAACATCACAACGCCCTCGCTCTGCCTACACAGAACACCACCCAGCGGCAACGCCACAAGCCTCACGAAAAACCCATGAAGCTTCACATCAACACCGTGAAAAGAGCAATGAGCGCCAAAAAAACATCGGACGTTTCTCCATCCTCGTCCCAAAATGAACGACGAACGGCGCATGGTCAAGCGGCCAAACACAAGCAGAACCGAGGACCACGCGCCCCTCCCCCCCCCCCCGCAACAGCCCGAAACGAAATTACCGTGAGCATCTCCTGCCGTTCGCGATCGTGCTCGGCAAGCTTCCTCAAGCTCTGCGCCGAGGCGGCGAAGGGCAGAAGCTCCTGCAGGCTGGTGGTCGCCGACGACCCTCCCCCCTCCGCCTTACGTCGGAGTTGGTCGTCCTCCTGATGTATGGTGATTCATACACAACAGACGCGCGCGCGGGGGCAGCAAGGTCCCACTTTAAGCGCAGCGTGTGGTGTGTCGCTGTGTCAGGCCCCTCAATTCTTCGTCTATCGAGCACACAGCCGCAATACGCCTCGAGTCGGGGGGTGATGCGTGTACCATTGGTACATGGATCTGGCGGACGAGAAAACCTTGGGGGTGGAAAGAGCACAAACCGGTCCCCGAATTCGCAACACCACCGCCTCGGTGGGCGGGGGAACTCTTCAGCTGTAAATCAATGCGTTGTCTTTTCTGACAAAACAACAGCAGGAACTAGCTAAATCCCATCTGCGATACCACCTGACAGAGCTTGTGCCGCCCTCACCTTAAGGGATATCGGAGAGCGTTCGATGCGGTCGAACACACCGCCGAGGAACTCGTCCGGGAGTGACTTGCCCTGGTCGATGCCTCTGTTGTTGCGAATGAAGCCCTCTGTGCGCGCGTGCGCGTGATGTGTTGCCGTCGTGTGTCGACATGGAAGCAGGGGGCCGTAGAACGGTCGGGGGTCAGCACCATCACCGCCACCACCACCACCACCACCAGTGGGAAGCGTGAGTTTAGGTACAGAACAAACAAAGGCACGTGCATACAAATAAAAGACAGCACAGACAAATAAGCGAAACAAAAAAAAAAGGGCTTCTATTTAGCAGCCAACCAACCAGACGAGGAGACAACGAACCTTTGGTCATGCGCTTGGCGTCCGGGATGCTTGGATTGTGAAGGTCGGTGTTGAGCATGACGATGCTGAAAGCAAGAATGAACGCCGTGTCGGGATTCGGGAAAACCGACGCGTTCTGTTTCGACCCGACGGAAGCAACCGCACAGACGCAAACAAGTTAGCCGGATAGGGGCAGCGAAAATCGTCAGCGAGCGAGCGAGAGACAGATAGAAGAGAGGGGGGGAGAGACATAGGTGCGTCTGAGACAAGGACGAGATAACTACGAACCATATGATGGGGAGGGCGGGCGGGGCGTGCAGCAGTACTTGTTTATTTTGGCTTGGACTGAAATAAACGAGGCTCGCGACAGAGACGAACGCACGGACGGCCAGACCCAGACAACCGGTATGTGGGCGTACTCACTGCCCCGGGCGTGGCTGGTACAATACGCGATTGCCAGACCCGCCCACCCCTTGTAGAGCGTTTTGGTCAAAGCAGGTTATTGGGGAGGGGGGGGGGGGGGGATACATGTACACGACGCGCCCGCCTGGACAAGCAGCTAGCTTGAACGGCACGGTCGAACGCGCTGTTCCCTGTCCCCTGGTATCGCACCCTCTCGCCCTGCGCCGGGTTAGGGCGAGTCGGAGCAGAGGCCGAGCCACACCGTGCTCCTGGACGGGCATGTAATTTTTCCACGGCAGACGCCCCCCCTCCGGTGGAGGATGCTTCGGCCAACCCGCTCACCCAAAGGTTAACCAGCCTTTCCCTCAACGGAGGTGACTAGAGACACGCGGGTCAAAACCTTCAAAACAAAGACAGCACCTCATGCATTGGAAGACTTGTAGCGGCAACCTGCACAGCTCTCTGCGGTACAGGCGACGAGAAAAGCCCTGCCCCTGAGCCAACACACCCGGCCATGGTATGTAGGAGCGGTACGATACATAACGACGCTCCCGTTGTAGAGGAAGAATTCGATTTGTGCAGGCACGGCCTCTCACTATCGGAACACAATCCATCACTACAAAACACTCGCCGCTGTAGCTACCTAGAGGGCGATGCGTAAACAGGGGGTGCCAATGAGATTAGCTATCATAGTGTTGTACCTGTAGGCAGAACCGCTCGGCGAATTTCTCCATCATGCGGTCGATCTTCTGAGCTTCCCCGGGCAGCCGGAACCCGCTGAGAAAATGGCGAATCGCTTCGTCAAACTCCATGTCCGTGAAGTCGATCCTGTAGTGATTTACCCCGTACGGCCCGAGACGCACGAACCCATATTGCACCGACAAGACCAACCAACCAACCAACCACACGTGAGATGAGGGCAAGGATGGTTTTGACGATTTACGGCAGCAGACACCCCGCCGGAGTCCCTCGTGCACCTTGACTTGGAGATACAGACACTTGGCGTGTGCTAGAATACATGGGACAAACGCTCACACACAACAAGGTGCAAAAGTGCCTCGTTGTAAGGGGAACACCCAAGACCGGGGGTTATCACGCTTTCCTGCCGGCGGAAAACACGATATGGCAACCACCTGGAACAGTTTGAGCGCAAAGCTGCTGCTCTTTCGCGTGAAAATAAAACAAAATGACCGCCCCTTTCGGCCTTGGATCGGACTTCGGTACAGCAGTAGAGGGCCAAAATACCCGAAAAGCGGTTTGAATAGGTGCGGTAGTCGACGCGACCCACGACGTAGAACCGACGGCACATGTATGTCGAGCGACAAAAACGACAGAAAAAAATGTTTCCATGATAGTGCGGAACATGGCGCTCTCACCCGTCCACGTAAGCGTGCAGCACCTTGACGCAAAAGCCGCCCATGTGGTCCGCGCCTCTGCCCATGAACTCACCGATCTGCGAGAGAACGAGACCTCGGTGTCAGTGACGTCACCTGAGACGCCTCCAACCATCTTCTCCCTCTCAATTGTCAAGTCTATCGCACAGCTAGCTTGTCTGTCCGGTTATTCAACCCATGTGCTACCCTCACCGCTCACTACTATAGCCGTGGTTGGTGTCACGCAGCTACCTACGGCAGAGGTCCCTGATTATTGCCGGTATGTGCCCGGAAAATTCATCGGCACCATACCGGGCACCTGCACTATTCAAACTATTGAGAAATAACTTGGAAATTCAGTGTGTGCCCGCCGAAAACACCAGCGCTACTATACCGGGCACTTGCACTATTCAACCGGCACTAAACAGGGCCCCCCACTGTACCAGTTTTTGCGGGCACCAAAGACCGCGGCCTTGTCTTCCAGTTCAACACCATTCTTCCGACTCTTACTACTGCGTAAAGTACAACACGCAACGTTGTCTGTCTTGGTAGTGATCATTGTGTCAAACAAAACCCCTCAGTCTCCCGCTACACAGCAGTACCACCCTCCGCCGCCTTCACCGACCACGAAACTGTTAGGCATGTAGTCGCGTGCTGCGACAGCTTACCTCCGTCTTGTCGAGGCGATCGGCCTGGGCCCGCAGGAACGCTGCTACAGACGCGGGGTCCTTGCTGTCCAGGTGGCCTTTCGAGTGCTTCGTTTCATAGAGCCACCAGGCCAACACACAGACAAAAAAAAAGACGGGGCGAAAACAGCGTGTGTATGAACGAGATGTGAATGGGGGTTCTGGCCACGCACGAGAACGCAACGACAGATGAGGGGGCAACGGCGAAAAGGAGGCGCGGTTTTTGTTCGTGGGGGCCGACGCAGCAGCATATCCATTCCCCCTGGCACACCGGTGGGATCGAAATGTACGAGGACAGGCGAAAAATCACCACGTTTGTCGGAGGCATGGGGGGGAGAGGGTGGTACGTACGAGTTATCCCGGAAGTACGTCACCCCTAACGCTAACCCTAACCCTAACACATCGGAACACGGTCGCTGCTTTGTGCACAACGCTTGACGTGTGAAAAGGCCCATTGCGACCTGGCACTTTTCGACACGATTTACTGTACCACGCCACAGCTACTGGTACATGATTAACGTAATGGCATAAAAACAAAATAAATTTATGGGCGGTACAAACAACAGTAACGCACCCCAGGCAGTGAGCGACATACTCACCAAGACACTTCAGCGGCGACCCATGCACATCTATCCATCCATCCATCTATCCACCACTCACAAGGTAGGCCAAGCCATCTTTGGGCTTCAAGTTGAACTTGACGATGCCGGCCTCGATCTCGCCCTGCACGCGCCTCTTGGTGTCGAACGCGTGCATGGCCTCCACCTTCGTTTCCGTTGATGCAAAGCACGAAAGCCACAAGAGAATCAACAGAAAACAAACGGCAACAGCGGCAACGATGAGACGCGCACACAACAATGACGATGGCAAAACGCATACAGCACTGGCACATTGTGCCTTTGCATGCCGAGGTGTCGTCGGTGAAACATTGTGTATTGAATCACATCACAGCGGTTCCATCGTGCATGCAGCCGACAACCCCCCACAAAAAACGCTGCTTTACCCTCCCGCGCCTCAAAACCATTGCGTACGACAACTGTCCATCGAAACAACGAACGAACTACCCCCCCCAAGGACGGGCGCTGGTACCAGCACGGGACGTCTTCGGCCCCACCGAAAGCGGAAGAGCAGCAAACGGTCTCAAAAGGTTACCCAACAGCAAGCACCAAACAAATCACAACACCGACATATACTATCCCCCCTGGTTTTCTACTCCACCGCATGCCCCGTACGCCGCAAAATGCTAATACTAAAAAAATCATGAGAACCCTCTAGAAAGAGACGGGATGGAGAAACAAACAAAAGTGAACACGAACATGCACTTCTGTGTGACCACGGGTTGGAGTAAACGGCGCAAGTACTGTGAGCGCTTATTCGAAGCGAAAATACAACAACAAAAAACAAACATCGCCAATTTCTCCCGGACTCCTGTCTGTGGATAGAGAGATGGATCCGTTGTGCTACGGTAAGAAAAAGAAAAAAATCCAACCCACCTGTGCGCTGTCGAACCGAAAGCTCCCCCTGTCTCTGCCAGGCCCCTCGTCCTCGAACCCCTCCGCCGCGGTCGCTCTGAAGCCCCCGTCTGCCCCTCCAAGCGAGTAGCCCCGTTGGAGGGCGTGCTTCGCTCTCTGCGCGCCGCCGCTCCACGTGCTAGAGAGCGGGAGCGGGCCGGACAGCGGCAGCGGCGACAAGGCCGGCGACGACGGCACCGGAGTAGTATCGACTGACCTCTCTTCGTCTGCTCCCCCTTCGTCTTCTTCCCCTTCGATCGTCACCTGTAAACCTCCGCTACCGCCGCCGCCTTCGCCAAGCACCGGCAGTTCCGAAGGGGCCGTCGTCGAGAGGGGCACGGCGCCGCCGCCGCCGCCGCCGCCGCCGCCGCCGGCGCGGGGGCTGTAGCTGGGGCGGCGGCTTGTTGTTGCGCGGGGGGAGACAACCAAGGGGACCGCGGCCGACGCGGACGGCGAGAACGCAGCCATCGACGACGCCCGTCGGGAAGAGGCTCCGGTCGTCGTGGAAGGGCGGTTGGCGGGGCTGTGGTGGTGGTGGTGGTGGTGGTGGTGTTGTTGTTGCCAGGCCGCCCGCTCCGACTCGACGGAGTTGGCGTGTCGTCTACGATCACCGCCACGTTATTTTTTTTTGGGGGGGGGTGGGGGTTTCGCAGATGTTGGTAAAATTTAGACAGAAGGGACGGGCGCGCGCGGCGATTGGCGGATTTTTCAAAGAAGAAGGACTTCATGAACGTACACAGGAGATGCCAGTCGCTGAATGCTTTGTTATGCTCACCGCAGCAGTGTTAAGTTCCTTTGAACGGCTACGACGGTTAACGCTGCAACCCCCTGTTATCTACCCATATGTACTTGGCCCTATCCTTAAGGAGAAAAACATGACCCCCCCCCCCCACCCCCCCCGGGTTTTTGGGGGTGGGGGGGCCATAACCACCACCGAAGGGCCCACCATGGGGACCCCCCCCCCCCCCCCCCCCCCCCCCCGGGTGTTTCACCCGGGGGGGGACGTCCCCCCCCGCCAAAAAACCTGTAAAAAAAACCCGCCCCCCCCGGGGGTGTCCCCGGGGGGGGGGGTTTCCCCCCCC